CAATCGAGGAGACATTTAGATGTCGCTAAATTTAAAAAGTCTCAAAGTATGTGGACATTCCTGTGGAGGAGTGGTTTAAGACAGTGACCGTGTGATAGCTGCATCCCAAGTTCGAGTCTTTGTTGCATGTCATCTCTGCCCTCTCTCCCCTCCGTTTCTGTCACATTCAAATACCAGCACGCCAACAAACATGAAAACCTTTGCTCCCATTCAGACCAGTATTAAGGTTGGGCCCTGGGTGAAATAGACTGACTTGAAAATTTCCTCTTGCTCTAATTTTGACACATTTGATTAATTTAAAGAAACATGATACTTGTGACCAATGCATGAGCGTGTGCAAGGACTGTGGGACTCTCAAATTTATTAAGAATTCCCATTTAGATCACTATTAAATTATGAATTGACCACAATGTTCCAAAACGCACTGATGTAAGAAATTTAATACAAGCCAGAGAGCGAGAGAGGGAGAAAGAAAGAGTGAGACTCAGTGTGTGTTGTGTCTATTTTTGAGTCTTGCGGTCCTGTTATAAGTGCTCTGTCGCAGGCAGGCCGTGCTGGTCTGACAGCGTGACGCACTTCGATAAAAAGGCTCTCGCTTGCGGTCACACACATGTCACCATGGCAATTAGCATGTCAGAGTGTGCGTGATTGACAGCTGCCACAGCTGGGATGTGAACAACAGCGAGCGGTGCTGGTGGGGCAACCTGGGGCGTTGGAGACACACAGCACAAGCTCTGGGTGCCTCTCCTACATGTGACTGTCATAAAGAATAAATGAGGTGGAGCATATTTACTTATCTCTGCATCCACAGGTAGGTGACAGGAATGGATGGACTGAAACCGACCCTTCACATGTTGTATTATTCATTTATTTTATTATTAGTTAAATTATAGCTCAGTTTTAAAGGGTAAATAGGCTACATTTATTTATTGCATCCATATCAGATGTTATAAGAAACAACAGTCAAACACATTATTCTCAATCATATATAATAATTATTAATTAATTTAATGATTTCTGCTCCCCAGCAGCACAGTTGATGCCTCCAGCTCAATGTGGAAAGAACAATATGGCCACCTGAGTTGCTATCAACAGAACATCATCAAACATAATTAATAGCATATGCACAAAGAAGTAGGTCACTGTCTATGTGTGCTGTATTTGAAATACTAGAACAGGATGTATGTTAAGCTGTACATATTGTATTAGTTATCCTTTACACTCGTATATTATTATTTAAAAATAAGTTTGGAAGGGCTATTACGTACGTTTTAGCTTTACTTCTAATTATTATTTAATGTACATTATTTTCTTGCAGTATTTTTTTAGTCATAGGTGTCTTGTTATCCAAACGCAAATGTATTTTATTTACTGTCACATCTATGACAGAGAAAATTTTAAAAAAGAAACTTCCAAATAGTTCATAATAATTCATTTGTTTTCAAATTACAAATTGCCTAATTGTTTCAGCTCTAAAGTTTAGTTTATTTAAATTCACTATTTAACACATAAGTATAGAGAACTCAGACAATATAATTTTGTCTAGCAAGGACTTTACATTCAGAGTTTCCCACTATTGTTATCGTTTTAGCCAATTCAGTTCTTTTTTTCGTATATTCATTTAGCATGAGCATTTTTTACACTCGCGTTGCATTACCACCGCCTATCAGTGGAATAATCAAATCATTTTAAAAAATCCACATATGGGCCTTTCATTTCAGCACGTTCTCATTCCCGGGGTATCAAATAACTACACTTTGTCACGTCCTTCGGCATCTAGTACCAACGCACATGGCACCCTTTAGCGTCATTGTTCAATGCTAAAGTCTGACTAAGGAGGTGGATGAAGTAGATGGGTGGGTCAGAAACTGGACATTCAACCATTAACTTATGCAATTTAAGTCACGTAAGTAACAAAGTTATTTTAACCCAAACCATGATATTTTCCTAAACGTTAACCACTAGTTTTCAAAGTCTATCCGGACGTTGCACATTTATTCTGCTAAGGAGCTCCACATGTATAAAAATGACACTGAAGGGTACCCAGGGTGTTGAAAAGTGAATTCAAGGGTGAAGTTAATTATAATTTTTTTAATCAAAAGTTTAGTGAGAACAGGTGTTATATGTTTCTAATGATGATAACCTCATCTTTGAACAGAAATCATCTTCTGTCAATCAGTCATATCAATATGAGTTCACCCTACACCTTGTAATCGCTCCTCAGTTGCTTATCCTTGTATGGAGACCTATGCAGATCTGGTTCTTTTTATGGCCCGTTGATATGAGTCTGGCTCCTGGCTAGACTGTTGCCGCTGAGATCACATGTGACTGATGGCAGGTAGCTGGGAGGCAGGCCACGCTGTCTGGGCTGCTTCCCCCCATTCAGTATACTCCACATCCGAACCCCCATATCAATCACTGCAGCAGGCAGGAGTGGGATGCACTGCCAGGGCTATTTCTGGCTCTCCCTGTCACACACGTGGAAAATATGCATATACACACACACACACACACCTGTCTCTGGCTGTTTCTTCTGGTGTCTCTATGAGGTGGGCATATTAATAGTGGCAGGCAGTAGCTGCAGCACGCTCCACCTGTCCCAAGGAGACAACTGAAGATGAAATCAGTTGTCTGACTCACGTTGCACAGTGCTCATTTAAAGCAACTGGCCAGTTTTTATGAAGGGGTACACAACTCAGAGGCCTGAATCCGAACGAGAGGCACCGGTATGGTGGAACATCTTATCAATCACCTGTTGTAATATATAAGCAGAGTAAAAGGCTGATTTGCCAATACTCGATTTGCCTCTTTGATTTTCTTTAAAATCTTCCAGACTGGTTGGGTTGGTTAATATGACTGCTGCAGGTTTAAAAACCCAAACACACATTAGAAAACATACGCTTGGATTGCTAACATTCGAAACAGGCTCTTATAGGGCTTTTATTATAATCCATCAGATTATCCAAATGCTTTTTGGCACGTGCTTGGCTACATGATGCTTACCAGTTATCATTAGATTCTTGGTGGTTGCCATGGTGGGTTGCCCCCCCCCCCCCCTTTTAATCCATAAATGTGGTTTGATTAAAGCAGCATCAATTGATTTTTATTTGGACACTTGGGGGCAGTGAAACAGGCTGGTACTAACATACAGGATTATCTTCATACAAGGTTTAAATGACAATGTGTGGGCAGACAAACAGTTGCCTATTTACCCATCCATTAGACATTAGCATCATGCTTTCGGCTTTTTTTTGGTCACCACCAATTTCATGAGTGAAATCTTTGCCTCTTTAGCTGCTAAATGCTTGACTATGTTCACCAGCTATTTGCTAGCTTTTCTTTCTGCTGTTAGGTGCAGTTAGTATACAGTTGGTTTATATAAACAAACATGCTTGAGAGTGAACCAAAACAGTAAAGTTGTGCACAAAACAGTAAAGTTGTGCACGGTAAATAAAAAAACAAACAGCAGAGAGATGCTCAAAAGCTCCTTAGAGAAGAGGGGAACTGCAGAGTTGGGTGGAAAAACTCTGTGGGATCATCAGTTTTTACATTACACATATTTTTTCCCCTGTTGTGAATATAAAATAATTGAAATGGCAGCTTTAAAACCTAACTTTTGCCTCAGTGCAAGTCCATTATTTTCAAATATTTGGCCATAATGTGGTTTGGACTGGATAAATTGAATATGACAGAACCCCTCTTTTGGGCTCCTAGTGTGAAACACGATTAATTAATAAAAAGGCAAATTCATGTTGTCTGTGACCTTTAATCTACCATTAAAAATCACTAGTGTTGGAGAGCTGCAGTAGATTATGGCAGTATGCATTCAGAACATCTGGGGCTATGGTTTAAACACATATTAAATAGATTAAAAATCTGTCTTTCATATTTCAGTATGTGGGTATAATATGCTGTTGAAGTCTGAATATGTAGTGGCAAAGTACTGTACACCATTTTTCAAGGCTGTCACCACCGAAACGAGGAGCCATCTCTTCAACAGATTAGTTTAGTACCACTTTAAATTTGGTCTCTTCAGTGGTGTTTGTTTGAGGAACTTCCCTGAATAGTAACCTGGTAATTACTTTGTGCTTTTGAGCGCCGGCCGGCCTCTCCAAGGCTTTGACTCAGGGCCTTCACTGGCAGACTGAAAAAATGCATTCAGACCTCACCAAGGACCCTGAGCGATTGTTAGAAATAGCTGCCTCTTAAGACGCGCCACGTACGGTCCGCTGTGAAGAGCATCACAGTGACTGAGACTTCATTTAGACCCTGCCACTGGCCTTGCCTCTAGATCTCGCAGTCAGGTCACAAACACTTCATAGCGTGTCAAGTGTCAACTGAAGTACTGTTGCTATTCTGGGCCCCTCGTTGTTTCTTGGGTCTCATAAGTCATTATCATCTCTTCTTAGAAAAACGTGTGAAAATAAGACTGTTATGTAGTTTCAGGAAAGAGAGCTTTATGTCAATGACCTAAATGTGTTCATACAGAAAGAAGATGGAATCTCATTCCCACATGAAATATAATTAATGGTTCTCCTTTAATCATGCAAATAAGTCTGTGCTTAATTTAGATATTAATTATATCTTGTAATTTGGCAAACAGCACACAAAGTCTGCCAAGGATGCCCCCCGACACCCCTCATGTTTTTCTCAGCAGCCCTCAGTCTGTTTCCTATCAGACTTTCAATCAATTGAAAGAGGCTTCACTAATTTAATATTGAGTGGCGAGAAGGCACAGTTAGACAGAGAGAGGAATCTCACGACTTAAATAATTAGACCTTTGTACCTCCCACAAGACATTTGATGTTATGTTCTGCTCACTGATTTTCAGCTACAGGCTTTACTTTTGGTTTAGTATTGACACGTTTTAATTGCTTTAATGCTGTTTTACAGTATACACGTTTTAAATTCTTTAATTACCTATGGCCAAGGAAGTTCAAATTGCATCCACTTTCGTCTCTGTGTGGTTGATGTACATGTTTTTCTTCTTCTCTTCACAGTGTTTGCCGATCCACGGTCATGGATTTGTCTTGGACAAGTACAAGTGCCACTGCAAGAAAGGATTCTACCACCCCAACAGAGTGGCAGTAAATGGCTTCAGTAAGTCACTGACAAATTTATCACCTATTAAAATACGTTCTTCATTACTACTGTGTCCTAATAAGGAGTATTGGTTCCTGCAAGGTGACTGCTTTGGCCACTTTTAAAGGTAACAAATCAGAAGAATTTGTTTTGTATTGGCAAATTTCAGCCTTTCAACCTGTATGTGGATACTTTTTGGTGAAGGTACAGTTAGTGATTTCTGACACATATAATAACAACTCCACACATTAACAAACTATGTCATATTTGAAAACTGAACTGGTTTGTAGTTATGTTTTAGGGTGACCAATCAAAAGTAGTTTATTTTTGAGTTAATTCTTGATAAAAACAGAAATCTTACCTCCACAGAACCTTACCACACCACAGAATACAGGAGTTGCTGCCTTGGTCGGTTCTCTTGTTTGTGTTATTGTTATCTCACAATAACACAAACTAACCCAAGGCTGAAGACTAGAGAGGTAAAATTACTATTTTTGTCAAGGGAGTTTGGTGGCTTTGACAGCAGCGAAATAGCAATTGTTTCTGGTTATAACATGTTAGAAAAAGGAAAATCTAACTCTTTAAAAAAAAAGGTCTGTCTCTGTGGGAATCATTTCCACAATGTCGTCAAACACTAACGATCTGAGCCTGCCAGAGGCAAAAAGAAGCACTTTAGTGCTTACACGTACTACGAAGGGGTGAAACTGCCCACAAGGATTACGTTGCAGCCCAGTCTTGCTGCTGCCATCTGCAGTGTGCTCGTTCAATACTGGACCAATTTAAAAAAAAATATAAGGTAAATGTTGCCAAAAGTTACCTTTTAATAACAAAATATAAAACTAGGTCAGCTTTATCAATTGGAGCCACAAGAATTTGGGATAACAAAATTAGTGGTGACAAGACTTATAAAACTGAGACAAACTCTTTTTTAATGATATTTCACATTAATGGTACATATGGTAATATAAGGCATGCCTTGATAAGACATGCAAACATAACCCTGGTTTTAACACACAAAAGTAAAAGAACTATGTTCACCTTATATGTTACATTATGTAACATCTTGATTTTATAACTGTGGTAATGAAGGAGGCACGTGTTGCTGCCCTGTCTGAAAAATAAAGTAGCCCCTGTACCTGGGGAGGCTACTCAGGTTCAAGATGGGAAATATCTTTTAATGGTAGTTACTTTTCCCAGTTTATTCTGTCTGTTGTGAGTTAATTAAAAAGGCTTTTGCAGACACAGAACCCCAGTGGTTTTCACCTGCCCTCTATCGCTCTCTCTTACTTACTTGCTTTAATTTCGATCCACTTTCCCTCCTGTCTCATCCCATTCAAACCTCATACAGCATGTTCCTCTGTGTCTCTCTCTCAATTTTACCCCTTTTCTCACCCATTTTCCTCCTTTCCTGTCTCCCTCAATTTTTGCACAAATCTTACAGGCACCCATTTTTTTTAAACCTAAAACTATTTCTCCTTCGTGCACAGAAAAGCAAAAAGGCTTAAAGATTTCTTCTTCGGAGAGCTGGATATCTGTGCCCTCTTCTCCTGCCTGTTTGTGCTGTGCTGCAAGCGCACACAAACTTGCGTGTTCATGTGTGCAGGTCTGCATGAAAACTCAGTGTGAGTGTATGTGTGTCTGCATGTATGTGTCTTTGAGGATACAATAATAGAGAGGATAGGCAAGCCTGTTAGTGAAGCGTAGTGCTGCAGTCTGGCCCACCATGGGGCCAATAACAAGCCTGTTAATCCACAAGGGGACATCCGTGACACTCCTTTGCAGAGAACGCCAGTGCAACTCACTTTCTTTTGTCTCCCAGTGATCTTCCACTGTGGAACTTAGATATAGAGATGTGAGAGAAGTTACTGTAGCTAAGCTTCATCTGACTGTCAGTCATCTGTAGGAGCAACAAACCAATGAGAATGAGCTAGAGGATATGACTCATTGCTATGGAGATAAGTAGTTCTTTTGAAGGGATCAATGATGTGCAGAGTCATATCTTTGAAAAATAGGCCAGTTTCTTTTTAAAGGCAAAATCCCTGCAAATCTCTTAGACAATGGCTGTTTCCAATAAAGCCTCCATAAAAGCTCTATGTAAGTCCACCATTCGTTATCTATCCAACCATATGCGTATCTCTCAGGGGATTTCTAAACAGACAAGTGCACTAGCTTCTTGTTGTCCCCTTGGGTTTGTTTGGTTTTTACCTTACTTTACCCTGGGGGGCATTTTTTTTTTAGCATTCACTGCTGTCCACTGTGACTAAACTCATCCACTTTACTTTTGTGGCTGGTTTATACCTCAAACAGAGTGGTAATTCTTGAATACATTTACTTTCTCCACCCAGATCTTGCACAAAGCTCATTTTTCATCAGGCGGGGATGTGTCCACAATCAACCCTGATTTTTTATAGTTTCAGCCAACCTGCCTTGTCTTTAGACTCCCCATCGTCTCTGTCCTTGTCAGGATAAAATTATTAAGTTCTGGCATGCCTCTGTGTGCCTTTTCCGCAGACATCAGCCTTGTATGATATGCTAGTGACTGAACAAGGTGCAGCAGTGTTGACTTTTCATGTTCACACATAGATCCATCTCCCTTGTGTTGACACAATGTCGATGAATCCTTGTAAGGTCAGAGGATGGATAAGCTTATATACACTCAGGACGATTCAGTCTGTCATAGAAGCACTTCATCTCTTTTATCTTACTGGTCTCAACAGATCCAGAGGAGAATTCAATAACAAGGACAATTATTTAAATGAGCTATAAAACCTGCTTCTATTTCCTTTGAAAGTCATCCCAACACGATGAATCAACATTGTGTAAAAACAACTATGCATGATAAAATGTGATACTTGGATTGGCAGAAGCACCATGTTTAAACCGTTTATTCATTACTTTTAGGTCGCAATACCAGCTGTTTATCCATTACTTGTCTGTTTCACTTTTATATTTCATCTCGTATTTTATCTTTGTCGAATCAGTTCGATTCCATTTGATTTTATTCTGTGAAAAGTGCTATAAAAATTTAAAAATAAAAATAAAACTATAAAAATTTCAACTGTATCCATTATTTTTTGCTTCTAGCTAACAATTTTAACTGTTTATCAATAACTTTTAGCTATCTTTGTTCAATCTTTTTGTTCATTACTTACTTACTAAATTTCCACTGTTTCTGTTGCTTTTAGTGGACAGTGTCAACCTTTTAAAATTTCAGTGTGTGGCATCTAGTGGTGAGGGTTGCGAATTGCAACCAACTGCTCACTCACCGCTCACCACTACCTTTCCCAGCAAATTAGAAGCTGTGGTGGCCAACACGCTCTGTCTGCTCTTATGCGAAATAATTCGTGTGGTCCTCCATATGTCCAAATTTCACTACTCTTCTTACTTCTAATAAACCAGATGACAAGAAGAACTACTAAAACTTCTTCTTCCTTATTCTTCGTACATATTCAACGTAGTAACAAAACACACTTTGTTTGTCCATTTGGGCAACTGTAGAAACATGGCGCCGCAACATGCCGCCATTCTAAGGTAACAAAAAAATAACGGTTCATTATGTAAGTCTTTATTTATAGTGTATATTATATTGCATTTCTATCAATATCCTACTAAATACATACTAGACCTTTAACCATTCATTTTAGCTAACATTGCATCCATTACATTTAGCTAACTTAACAAATGCAAAGTGTGTTTAACCATTACCTTTAGTTAACAATTTAACCATTTTAACCATTCATTTTAGATAACATTTCAGTTGTTTATCCAGTACTTGTAGCTAAAGTAACAATTTTAATCATTTATCCATTACTTTAAGCTAACAACATCAGGTGTGCATTCATTACCTTTAACTAACAATTTCAATCGTCGATTTTTCTTGCTAACATTTATAACTATCACTTTTAACTTTAAAATCTTAACTACGTTAAGATGTTTGTGTCAACCAGTACTTTAAGCTATCTCCTTTGTCCATTACTTTTAGCTAATGACTTGGACTATCTTTATTTATCTGTTTCCTTTCTGGGTTTCTAACTAGTTTTCATGCACTCTTAATCGCAACACAAATGGTTTATATCAGTATATGGATACATTTTTATCATCAAAACAATTATTTCTATATTTAAGTTTTTTTCAAATTAGCTGAGCTTCTCCACAATCTTTCCGTTTGTACTCCCAGGATACAAGTACTGCCCCTGGTTAGGAATAACTGTCCTAGAGCACAAAATATCTTCTGCACAGGGTTGATAAGCTTGCTGATCAATACCAAAACACTGACAAAACCTGTTTCAGCTGCTGAGATGTCTTGCCTTGAATATTTGGAATTAAACTCCTGTATTTGTAAATCTTGTTTTTGACAGGGATGGGAAAGGGAAAAGCTGCATACAGCGGTCCCAATGCGGACGAGGGGTCTTCCAGCGACTGTCTGCCATGTCAGAAAGGCTGTGCCTTCTGCAAGGACGACACCCCCTGTGTGGCACGAGAGGACGGCGCTCTTCGCTTGGCTGTGCTCTCTTTCCAGTGCTTCTGCTTGCTGATTGTCTTTGTTAGCATGGTACTCATCTACCACTTTCGCAGGCATAAGGTATTTATCATTACATGATCATAACAAACATTCCTTTACAAAGTTATATCCATTTATATCTATTGTCATTTAACTGACATTGTTTGTGAGTGATTCACGAGCCTAGAGACAGGTGCTACAGAGACACTAAAGCTTAGTTTTCTTTAATTCATATCAGTTATGTTTGATGTTTTCTGGGCCGTATGGCCATCAAAGCCCTTTGGATCCATAAACCAGTGAATGTGGGTGGTCACAATAAAGCTTTGAAATCATTTCAAACAGCTGAACCACTACAGATCAACTCAACATCAGCAAGTTGGACAGTGACCAGTTGTTACAAATGAGCACTGAACCGAATTTACTCTGATTTATACATCAGGCCACTGACAGGCTTTGTCTTTCACAGTTTGAGTGATAATTTGCATGCATACAGCTTGTTCTTGTGGTTGTTCTGCCAGTGTATGGATGTGTGTGAATGAAGGTGCTATACAAATACGGAGCATTTACATTTTTATCCGAAGCAACTTAATATTGATATGAATGTCAGAGGTCGCAACTAGGGGTTAGGTGTCTTGCTCAGGGACACATTGGTGTATGTGGGAATCGAACCCAGGTCTCTCACACCAAAGGTATATGCCCCATACACACTTTTCTCGCTTTCTAAAGATGAAATCTTTGTCTTTAATTCCTATCATATACTTTATCAAATCTATCCCTATTGTGAAATATGGCATTGAGTTGAGTTGTTTCAGTGTGTAGGTTCGCACCTGGTAATCTATATTACCTTGAAAGGTGATGACATTTTCTCAAAAATCAGTGGATAAACCTTTGAGAGTGCTCTCTCTTTTTCTTTTGTCTACTCAGCCGTGGCATCTGCTCCAGTCTTATTCTCAACAAACTGCTTCAAATTCTACAGAAAATGCCAGATTTTACACTGCAAACACAAAAACTTTCATTAATTGGCTTTTAGCTGAATCATTAAAATGACACATACACATAAAGCAGTAAAACTCCTATTTATAATGGCTGAACAAATGAAAGTTGGTGTTAGAAGGAATTTATTTACTGAGTTCACTTTCTTCCCAAGTAAACTTTTGCCCAGACTTATGAAGTCCTCTGAGTCTCCAGTTGCTGCTGTCAGTTAATTGGCTTGATTAAATGCTTTGTCTTAAGCATTAGACATGGGAGGATTAGCCTGAAGATTCACCACATTCCTGCCAGAGGAGCATCTAGCACCTCCACCTCCCACACACCTGAAGGCTCTGCCATTATATCAACCAGAGTTGAACAAAGAATCGCTCCCATTAATAAAGCAGATGAAAGTTTTAGATACTCCAAGGCTTTGTCAAAATTATGTAATCCCCATTTATGTAATCCCTATTAATCTTATCAAACTAAATTTAAAAGCTTAGTTTCAAAGCTCTTCACAGACTTCAATTAAAAACGGTTCATTTTCATAAACAATGACATCAGTTGGGTTGCATATTTAAGTTTTTTTAAATATATATTTTAAATAAGATCAACATCACTCATCTGGTCTACATAGCTGTGGCTAGTGTTCTGTGTTGTCTTTTGTATGTATTTTTAAATGGGTGACACAGTTGTCTTTTGCTCTTTGAAAGCCCCCTCAAGCATCTTGTCAATTAGAGGATGATATGTTGTTAAATAAGTGCCTGAAATGGTGAACCCTTCTATAAAAAGTCCTTGAGGCAGGAGCTTTCACTCTACTTTTTTCTCTTTTAACCAACAAAGAAGAAAGCTCCCTTCCCCTATTAAATTCTCCTGGAATATTAAGATATCCCACTTGTTTAGACTTGTTTAAACCTCTTGCAATATGAGGGGCATTTTAAGAGTTAGAACAGCCATATATCCATTCTGTAGAAAGGAAAACTTTATATTTTAATTCAAGATTTTGGACATTGTTAGAAAATTTTTTCCCCCAAAACATAAATTATCTTCTATCCTTTAAAAAAGACTATAATCTATTTTCCTTTCAGACTATGGTTGTATTAATATTTCAAATGGGACTTTCTGCATAGTATCTTGTACATTAGTGAAAAAGAATATTAAAGCTGCTGTAATACATATTTTAAATAAATAATGGATCATATGACTACGTGTAATAAGAAGAGTTGTTCGTAGTGACAAATCTACAGAGAATAATCATCCGATTCTGCAGCTGCCGTCAGCTTTACATACTTTTTCTGATTCTTGTTGTTTTTGTTTTACTGGTTTGATTCATTCTCACAGCTCTGAGTAGCTTCATTCAGCTGTTTTCAGTGAAAATACTTTGATAAACACTCTGTACGCAACCTTCTTAGCATCAAATGACTTACATTTACCAAGTGGCCAAAAACACGACTTCAAATTAATGCTGATGTTGCCCCATTTATTATTTATTAATATGTATTTTTTCAATTTCCCTATGTTGCTTTTAAACTTTTTTATATTTCCCTGTTGCTTTTATGTTTTATGTAAAGCACTTTGAATTACCTTATTGTTGAAATGTGCTATACAAATAAACTTGCCTTGCCATGTTTGCTGGATGTGTAAATGAGTAACTGTTTGCTAACACGTAACCCACCCTAATAACTTTATGAGAAAATAGTATGTCAATGTTATGTTTACAGCTGGTTGCACAGATTTATGCAGGTTTAAATATGTGATGCATGAATGAGAAGTTTAATAATTGGTGTATTTTTCTTTTTGGCAGAGTATCAGAGCATCAGGTCTAGTCCTACTGGAGGCCATCCTGTGTGGAGCTGTGCTTCTCTACTTTCCGGTAAGCCAGGGACACTTGCCAGTTTGTGTGTACGTGTGTGTGTGTGTGTGTGTGTGTGCACATACAGGTTTGCATCCTTTCATGTGCTCATTTCTTGATGTGTTTGCTGATAATTCTCATGTCGTGCTCCCTTGAGCTGAAAGCAAAAATCTTCTCCTTGACTGAAGGTTGGCATTCAGTTTGACCTTCAGTTCATACCACCGCTTGTTCATCTAAAAGAAAAATCAGTGCTCAGAACAAAGTTGCAGCGGTACAGAGCGGGACCGTTTGCCTTATCAGATAATAAACCTCAGTCCATAAATCATATTCTGGTGTTCTTTTGACTGCCGCATGGAGCTGTGATAAGCAGAGTTTTCACAGCCAAGGTGTGCGTGTGATTAAACGGGACCGGCAGAGACAAACATCCCAGGGCTTGTTGGTGACCCCCTGCTAACTGTACACAGAGCTGGCCAACGAACCCAGCAGCCTGTCAACACTACCATCTGTTGACCAGCCACTCACGCTGCTTCGGACAGACTGCACTCATTCAGACCTTCACACAGAATAAACTCCATTAAAATGTATTTGAGTTTAACCTTTCGAGAGTTTTTATTCTTAATCCGTATTCTGGCCATGTTTGATCTAGCATTTTCCCAGTTTTTCCATGAAACTGGTCACTTAAATTAAATTAACATATACTCATTCTTTACACTCAGCCCCCTTTAGGGATGTTCAACTTAAATGAAACAATTTTTTAGAGCTTGAAGGTTTACTCATTTCATTGTGTATGTAATTTTTCAAGCAAAAATCTCTAATTTACGCTGGTTAAGGCTTGTCAAATGTGAGTATTTGATACGTTTGTTTGATATATATTGCAGTAAACTAAATATGTTTTGGTTTTGAACTGTTGGTAAGATAAAAAAAGCTATTTGAATATGTCATCTTGGGCTTTGAAAAATTATAAAAGCATTTATTTACAGTTTTCTTACGTTTTATCGACAAAGCTATTTATAAAGGAGATAATTGTCACATCAACCAATAATTAAAATAATCATTAATATTAGACCCATTTTTAACACAAACTTTTCAAGGATTTATTACACTGTTGGACTGCCAGAATGCTTTGAAGTATAGGAGACATATTTTTAAGGTGTCAGCTCTCTACCGTGCGTTGTACCTGGATTATTTTTACAGCATGACGTTGTTTTTGAAAATGACCACAATAAGCAAAAAGAAAAGAATCTAACTGACCAATATAATATATATTAGGCTACATCTTTATTCTACACTAATAAAACTTTTCAAACTAGTTGTTGATATTGTCCTGCAGGCAGAACAGTGGGCAGTAAAAGGTAATGTGTAAGCAAAGGAAACATCAAAGTATTGTCCAAAGCTTGTGTAGGTCCTATTATAGAGCAAACAAGCAATGAAAACAGCATTTTTGATTTTCACTTTTTGCAGTGGTTTTTTAGTGTTTCCTTTGGATCCATATCTGCCTTGTTGGTACTGCTATTAAGGAATACATAGCTCAAACAACTGAAAATAGGTACTGGTTACTGTGAGCTTTATGTTAGACTGAGACTCTTTCTTCATTTAATTGGATGAATATACAATGTTATAGATCTAAAAAATGTGGAGACAACAAAGTCACATTATTTTCCAACTTCTGAAGCACCTCATTATTCGTGCAGATGACCAGACTCTGTCCAACACCCACATACCATTGATTTACATGAATCTACAATTATTTCCTCCTCTTGGGTGCGCGGGGCATTGGCTAATTGCAATTTAGTTGCAATCATGTGGAGCTATATGCTTAGCGAAGCAATGCAGAGTAAATGTAATTAAAATCAAGTGATTTAGAGCTGGCTAATCGATGCAATTTGCTGCGACAAGGTCCTGGAAAGTAATAATGTTTGAAACTTGCGGAGTGTTGAAAGCAAGATGGGAGTCAGGTTATTGGTTAGTAGATGAATGAATAGTAACTGATAATCCTGTATCCGGCCGGAGTTGAGATGGCAGCGAATGCTAAAAATAGATTGCTTGTAAAAAGGTTCTACAAAGGGAACTTAACTTTGTAACTCACTCTAGAAATCCTGCCTTTGTTCCAGTGCTTACAATGTAGTGAAATTCTGTCAGATTATTCTGTACTGTTATGCCGAAATGGTCACTGTGAACACGACTTTGATAAAATATCTCGGGCCCGATCATGTGAAAACAGCATCTTTCTGCATGGCTCCGTGCTGCACGCTATATTGATCTCCACCCTGATGCATTTCCATGTCTCCGCTGCAAATTCCACATGAGCCGCGGCTGTGAGGGTGAGACGCATCACTCCTAATCTAAATATAGATTCAGAAATATTTCGCCGCCGTCGCCGCTGCTGCTGCTGCTGCTGCTGCTGCTGCTTCTATTTTAAATAATTCCTCTGTTATTAAGCAGCAGGAGATACATCTTATCCTGCTCCCATGGCATTTGGCTTTGTGGAGTAATGCAATTCTTTCACCCCTTTTTTCGCTCTCGAATGTGTCACATGCAATAACTTCAGCCCCCCTCCTATGAAATGAAAGGGGAGGAACAGGGAGTGCAGAAGGAGAGAGGCAAAATTATGGCTGTGCCAAAGCCGGTTATTTCCATCTGGCTGTGGAGATGAGAGAGGGGGAGAGCGGACACGCATTTGTGATTCACAATGTGATCCCTGAATTAGCTTGCCAGCCCTGCGTTTGTCTCTTTGCTGCTTTTTATTGACGCTGCTGGGGAGGCTTAGATTGGAGTAAAGTAACCGAGTTTGGATTTCTATTTGTTTTTTTTTTTTCAGATGCCTCCATCTCCTCCAGTCAAGGCAGCAATACATTCAGACAGGAGTAATGAATCAGAGGCGTTGCACCTGGTCTCATCTGGTCAAAAGGCACTCTGATAGGTGCTTCACAAATAATGGGGAAAATACAAAAAGCTAATTAATTAAATGTGATTTTGCTCATCATAACAATATTTTTAGAATCTTATTGTCCAAACTGGAGATCATGTGTAACACAGAAGCTTGCAGAAGAGATAATAGGATGCAAAGAAATCAACAGTACATCCTTTTGTTCCACATTTCACTCTCTAATCCTAGTTGGTAACTCTGGTTTATCTTTTGTCACTTGGTTTCTGGATGAATCTTAACTGCTCTCACTGTTGTTATCCCCCAGAAAGTTACTTAACTTCATGCAAACATACCATGTTGGATTTATTTCCTTTTGCTACTTTCTACCCATCTGTGTGTGCACCAGTGTAGGCTGCCCGAGAGACAGCACCAGCACATGTCACGCCACCTGATCACTGGTTAATCAGACTTTCCATTAGATTCTCCTGTGATCGATTGGTTTATGAGTTTCTGTGGTTCTCTTCTGTGTCTGTGCAGCTATGTGCATTTTAACTCCTTCTGTTTATTCCATATAATCCTTCTTTTTATATTAATTACTGATTGTTTCAAGAGCAATAACAACAATTTGAGAGGACGACTTCATATTTGCAGCATCTTGTCTAGCAGTTGCATTGCATTGTGGTCTTTTGAGGCTACTGTTGGTGCAAAAAAGAAGGTAGATAAAACTTATTGTCCGTGTGATTCCATGCTATTATCTCAATATTAAGGATGTTAAATGAAACTGAACTACATTTACCTAGGGGTATTTGGCAACAAGTCTTCCAACACATAGACAATTTGTTAGCGCCTTTCTAAACAACCCATATGAAGGTTTTCTTCCTTCCAAAACCATTACAAATCTCATGATAAAAACAGATTAATATCACAGTTTTCTGACCTGCCACCTGCCTCGGTTTTCGGCCGAATTGCCACCTCAGCCCAACTCAGGGCTTTGCCGTGCATGGCAGTCAGGGCTTCACAGCACATCAGGGGGCTAATGAGAAACAGTATGGCCAAGGGATAATGTGTCCTGACCTGACAGGCCATGAAACACAGTCTGCCAGCAAGTTCTCTCCCTTGCTCTGCTCTGCCTTCCATCCAAGCTGTTCTGACACTTTCAATCTGACTTAAGTGAGTCTGGGGGGTTGCTGTTTGCATTTCCAACCCTCCCTTCATACCCTGCTTCCCTTCTTACTTCTGCAAAGTGCTGTTGAGTCTCCCAAAACATACGGCCGCTAAGTTGAAGTTGAGGATGCACTGCTGCAGCTGGAGAGTTCCTTCTATCCACATGAGCAGAGAGACAGAAAGTATGAGAGACTGGATAAAGAAAGATAGCATCGACACATGTAGGCATGCTCCTTCTCTGATATGTCCCTTTGTGCACAAGCAAGATGGGAATATCTCTCAGGATCTAACTGGTGATGAGAAGGGAAGGGAATTGTGGGAGGCGAGCGGCAGCCAGCTCTGGTCTTGACTGTGCAGAGGCCGATCTGGATGTAATTTACACTCGGCCCACCTCAGGGAGAAGTAGGAGAAGAAGAAACCATTACCTCCCTCCAAAAAGCTGCCCTTCCCATGTGGCAGTGAGTGTCGGCTTTCATATAAAAATGGATCTATTGCTATTACAACACCCCACCTCTCCTCTGCTCCCACCGTTGCGTCCTCCCACTCGCTCATACCGAAGGCGTTTTTATAGATTATAAAAAAAGAATGTGCAGGAGAAGATGACCAGAAAAAGCAGGGCATGGACGGAACGGATGACTGTCACGATTTCATGTCAAAACATTAAAAGTAGCACGAGAGCTTTGTTGTGACAGAATGATTCCCGAGGCTGCACCAGCCTATTCTCTACTCAGATGGAGACAGACACAATAAATGGCTTAAAGTCATTTTTCTCCCCATTTAGCTGGTAGCAGTTTCCAAAGAAACTGTGATAACAAAATTCAGCACCGTCTGTTCTCCTGACTGCAACTGGCTAACGTATTTGTCATTTTTAAATCTAGAAACTGATTTGCTAATGACTGATGACTAATATATGATATTTTATTTAGGCATTTTCATTGCAGTAAGTGCTCCATTAGTGTGAGGTTGCTCTCCTAGCCGTCATAGCTGCCAG